CCACCACAGCAATATATGTACACTCATGTTTATAGTGCACTATAAACTATTTTGTAATAGCTAAATCTTGGAAACAGCCCAAATGCCCATCAACTAATGAATGGATAAGTAGATGCAGTTGTTTTACACAATGGAGTACTACTCTGCCATGAAGAAGGATAAACTTGAGACATTTCTAGCTAAACAGATGCACCCTGAGACCATACTCTAAAATGAAATAAATCAGACACACATGTTTAAATACCACATTGTTTCTCTGCTGTGAGAAACTGAAAGTTGAAATAAGGACCAAAATATATAATAAATATTGGGAAATGGGAATAAAATATATAATTGAGAAGGGGGAGACCAAAAGGAAAGAAGGGACAAGAAAAAAAAGAAAGAATAGCCAGGAATGGTGACACACGCCTGTAATCCCAGCATTTGGGAAGCTGAGGCAGAAGGGTCACAGTGAGTTCGAGGCCAGCCGGGGCTACATAGCAAGTTAAGGATGGCCTAAACTTCCTAGTGAGACACTGTCTCAAAAGAGAGAGACAGACAGACAGACAGAGAGAGACAGAGAGAAGAAAAAATGGAAAGAAAGCTTTTGTTAATAAGAAAGGGAAGAGGAGTCAAAGGGGAGATGGGAAAAAAGAAGCAAGCTATATCATGTATAGGTACAAATTCCCTAGGATGAATGTTATCATCGTGTATATCTAAAATGTATCAATAAATGTTTCGCTTTAAAAGAAGGAGTGTCATCCTAAAATTTCACACACACTTACTTCCCACCCCCAACATACTTCATTTTTCTCCCTTCTGAGCTTTATTTCTTCTCCTTGTCATTTATCACAAGTTATAAGCATAAAAAACTGCATCTTTCTGAACCTAACATAAAAATGGAATATTACCAATATCCAATCCACATATTTCATGAAATCCTAAAACTGTCAGAAGTCAATCCTCTATTCTACGAGGGTAAAAAAGAATGAGAAAGCTCTTCATGTTAGGAATCATGAGTAGGAATGATCTACAGCATTCATACACTTACCAGTATATAAGATGTAAAAAGCAAAGGGCAAAGCAATAGATATACTGTACTGCCATTTGTGTAAAGGGTGGGGACACAGAAACCACACACGCCTGTATATGACGTGCGTGTGCAAAACCTATTTGAAATGATCCTCTCTGGGGAGGAGAATAGGTGGCTGGAAATATAGGGCGGGAAGATAAAACCTGTGTTAAATCTGATCATATTAGTTTCCTTAGGTTGGCAAAATAAACTACTATCAACTGGGTGGTTTAAATGATAAAAAGTTATATTCTCACGATTCTGAAGGCTAAAAATCTAAGATAAATGCATCCTCACAATTTGTTTCTTTCTTTAGTTACTTTTCTTGTCACAACAATCAAAATTTAAGGAGGAAAGATTTATTTGGCTCAAAGTACGTAGAGGTTTCAATTCATAGTTATCTGGCTCCAAGGGAGAGCAGCATCGCAGAGAGGCATTGCAGAGGAGAAACGGTTCATGGCAAAGCAGGGAGGCAGAAGGCTGCAAGCAGCAAGCAACAAGTGACAACCTTTCTGCCCCTTATATCTCATTCAGGCATGCCAGAGACTCCTGCAGTAATCTGTAGTCACCATTTGCCCCGTGTGATGCAGGCCTGAGGAAAAGATACACCAAGAGACAAAACTAAGAGAGAGAAATCACGGTGTCACGACGACCAATGCTGGTGTGACCAACAAAGTCCCTGGACAGTCCCAGGCACTGACTTTTATTAGTAATCAATTGGGATAAAGGCCATGTGTGGTTTCTATAAAAATTAATGTAAACAAGACTCAGAAAGGACGAGACAAAGCATTCTCAAGTTAGAAACAGAATAGACAGAATATATGATTGCAATTAGAATATTGCCTTCTAGTCTGAAGGTTTTAGTTTTGAGAGCACAATTTGGGTATGAGTTACTCTGACCTTGACACATAGGCTTCGGCCAGACTCACTTCCATAAACAGGGCAATTGTAGGGTTAACTCTTCACAGCCTGCTTTGGGCATAATCAATATTACAATCATCTACAAAGGTGGGCTGGGGATACAGCTCAGTGGTGCTGTGCCTGCCTCACAAGCACAAGGTCCTGAGTTTGATTCCCATTACTGGTAAAAGAAAAAAAAAGTCTTTCTCATATCTTATCCAGGCTACCTACCCTTAGGGCTGAGGCAGCCTTAATCCTAGCCTCACACCATGAGTCAATCCCAAGCATCACATCTTGATCCCAGCAGCACACACCCTAGATCCAGCCACCTCCAAAAATCCTCACCTATGACTGCATAAGGTTTTTTTTGGGGGGAGGGACATCTAGACACAAGCTGTAGCAGTGTCTCTCCCTGGCTTACAGATGGCTACCTTTTCCCTGTATCTTCACATAGTTTCCTTTTTGTGCACATCTGTGCCCTGACCATATCTTATTACAATGAAACCAGCCATATTACATTAAGGTTCACCTAATGACCTCATTTCCCTTAACTACTTCTTTACTTCTATTTCCAAATACTGTCCTGAAGTAAGGCCCTGGGGGTTAGAACTATGACATATCAAGATCAGGAGAAGGAGACTTAATTAGCCCTGTGACATCTATTGGTGGGGGCATAGAGGAAAAAAAAGGGAGAAAGGAAGATATTAAAATTTATCTCCAGTCCCATAATCTTTTTTAGGGATAAAAAACAAAGTCAGAAGTTGTGGCCGGGGATTTAGCTCAGTGGTTCTGCCAACTGCCTGGCAATCCCAAGGACCTGAGTTCAATGCCCGGTACAAAAAAAGAAGAAGAAATTGTCCCATATCTTGGTACCCATGAGAAGTTCTAAGCGCTGGGGTTGTAGCTCAAGTAGCACTTGCCTCACATGGATGAGGCCCTGGTTTGAGCCACGGCATGCAGTAGAAGGAGAAGGAGGAAGAGAGAAAGGAGAAGGAAAAGGGGGAGAAGGAGAAGAGGAAGAAGCCAAAATAGTAGTGGTAGAAGTACTGTTCTGTTGCATTGTTTGTGTAGCATTTCTTTCCCTTGTGCTGAGGTCTCTGGGCTGTGAAACAGCAGACCTCTCAGACTTCACTTCTAGGGTGGGAGCACTTGCACTTTTTCTTCCCCCTTGGACTCCTTCGGGCTGATCCACCTGATCCAGGATTTAAGAAAGACAGCTCTGTGCCTTTTTTTCCTCAGGCAGGCAACTGATCTCCATGCTTCCTTCAAGTACAAGTAACTGTAGAACAGTTCCCAAAGTATTGTACAGGAACCCTTTCAGGAAAGTCCCCAAACTATTTTCACAATACTATGATGCCATTTACCTTTTTCTGTGTACCATGGAGCTTTCTAAAAGCAGATGGGAAAATATAGTTATCTCTTAGCAAAACAGACATTGAAGAGATTTGCAAAAAATGTAAAATAATGCCACTTTTCTTGCTAAATTATTTTAAAGTATTTTTCATTAGTTAATGGTATTTATGTTAACAATACCAATTTTATTACTTAAAAATGAATACTTATTTTTAATTCTTTGACTTTAATTTGTAATACAATAAATAACTAGAGATATAACCTATATAAACAAAATCTCTTCACAGTCCTCGATAATTTTTAAGCATGTAAAAGATTCAGAAAAATCAAGCGTATGAACCCTGGTTTTAGTGTCTTCAAGCTGGAGAAAAGGAAAAGCACAAACAGTACTGTGACTAAACTTTGTTGACACAAATATTTATGGGACAGGCATTAATACTAAAATCAGAGTTCCTTCAAGGAAATAACCATACAGTGGAGTAGATATAGGACTATGTTACCCCCGTACCAGATGATAAATGTTGCAACAGCACTGGTGATCAAAGTTAGACATTTAATTGTGTTAGTCAAAAAAGACTTTCTGGAGAGATCCAAGGTGAGCCCTAAAAAACGAAAAGTATATACCAGACAAGGTTCACTAGAGGGATTGATGGTGGTAAGGAAGGAAGGTTGTATAAAGGCATGGGCTGAATCTAAATACAGATAGTATTGCTTTTCCCACTAACAAAGGAACCATAAATTACAAAGTCAAGTTTCTTAGTCACTTTGAAAAATAAACGACCAGCTAGCCTGATACGAACTTACTCCAATTTCTTCACAATACTTAATTACCCTTTCTGCAATGCTGTAATGTTGTCACATAGAAATCTGTGCAGATAATTTAACTGAGTTACTTTCTAATACCTTGTAACATTGGTTTACTAATTGCCTATTCTGATGGTTTCTCCACAGGAACATGAAGTTTATCTTTTTTTTTTTTAACTAATCGATGGAATTATCCAAGTTTATCTTAGGAGTGCAAACTTCTCCTAGAAATGAAGCTTAAACAAAAATTGCCCAGGAGACTCCGACCTCACTTTTTTCTTCAAACTAGTTTGAAATTGCCAGCTGGGGGGAAACTTCCCTGGTGCCAAGAGAACAAGAGAACCAGACGACAGAAGGTTCAAAATCCCCACGGACATTTCCAGGATCCGGGGGCAGAGAGGCAGCTAGAAACAGCAGTTCATATCAAAGAATACATTTTTTTTCCTTTGGCACCCTGTTCAACGAGGCAGAATTTTGTTGATTTTGCTGTTTTGCTACTGTGGATTGACTTAGGGACTTAGTGCTACATTCCCAGACATTTACTTATTCTGTGGCTCTGGGGTTTGAACCCAGGGCCTTCGCACTATGCTACTTTCTCAGCCCATTTTTACTATTTTAAAAATTTTTATTTTGAGACAATGTCTCACCAAGTCACTAAATCGCCCAGCTTCGGCTCAAACTTGTAATCCTCCTTCCTCAATTTTCCAGAGTGCTGGGATTACAGACCATGTAAAGGTTTCTGTTTGTTTTGTACTGCTGTTTTGTTTTTCAGTTCATTTATACTCAGCCACTCCCTAAACTCAGGATTTCCCAGAGCCTGGAGCACATCCGGGACTCCCGCAGGCGTGTTCTTGGGAGGAGGAGTCTAGACGCACAGACCAGGCCCCGCCCACCCGGCGTTAAGAGGGTCCGCGCGACGCTTTGGGCCGCCAGGGGTCGCGGCGCCCTCCCTCTTACCCCTTTCGCTGTCGCGAGAGAAGGCGCGAGGCCTGCCGGGACTGTGCGCGGCCAGCCCTAGACGTGCCCAAAATGGCAGCCCTGGAAGATGAGTTCACGTTGTCTGCCTTAGCCCTGGGCACGGGGCCTGACGGACTCCTAGGCGTGGAACCGAGCGACAAAACAGACCATTTCCTGGTGACGGACAGAAGCCGGACTGTCGTCCTCTATAAGGTAAAAGGAATGTGAACGCCTGGCTGCCGTGTCGCCCCTTCCTGAGCCAGGCGTCGGAGACCAATTTTCTCGCAGTATCAGAGATTGTGGATTGTGCTTCATAGAAACCCGACTTGCTTTGTCTAGGACGCTGAACGAGGTCTAGAGTCTGACTAGGTTGTTTGGCTGTGGAGAGATATTTCTGAGTTGCAGGCGGCACAGCGTCACAGTGCACATGGGACAGGATGGAAAGGAAAAGGAGCCTGTGTTTTTGCTGGGAATATTCTGCAGATGGCCTTGCTAAGATCCACTCCTATGGTTTTAGGCACCCTGCTGTCCACTGAAGAGTCGAACGGAGACTGAATGGCTAAAGATGACATTGACAGGGTGGGAACATATTTTGGCTCTGCATCTACACTTTTTTGGGGGCAGGTACCGGGGATCGAATTCGGGACCTTGTGCTTGCGAGGCAGGCTGTGTCTACACACTATTCCCCGCTGCCTGGGTTTGATTTTTCCTTTTTTGCGAGTGAGGCAGAGGTTTCTTATTAATTCAGTAAGAGTCTTGAGTTCCGAGTGACTTGTAGGTGGGCAGCTCCATTTCACATTATGAATCCTGGAGTGTGTCAGGAAATCGTAGGTCCCGCCTCCTTTTCATCCTAGTTCCTAATTGAGCACTCTTAACCTTGCTTTTGGTAATCCTATAGGAAACATTTTAATCTGGGCTGCTGAATATATTTTTCTATGTTATCAAAAAGGTAACTGCTTAAAGTTTTGGGAACAGATTGCCCATAGTTTCCCTATAGTGTTTGCTTAGATTCCTGAGGTAAATCTTGGTCTTTACCTCTGCTGTTCAGTGCATCTGCATTTCCTGTATAGTAATGCAGTGGCTGATTGAAATTGAATGGACACGATCCTGAGTATCCCTGCCTAATTTAACATGCCCCTGTTCAGACACAGAATGGAATGACTTTTTAAAATACATTATTGTTTATTAACAATGTGTTGTCAGTTATTACTCTTCACTTTAGAGACAGTTATATTTTCATTCTAATTACTGTTTTTGTTTTTAAAACAGGGTCTCACTGTGTAGGTTCAGGCTGGTCTTGAATTCACTGTGTGGCCCAGGCTTCCCTCAAGTTCAAAGTGATCCTCCTGCCTCAGCCTCCAGAGTGCTGGGATTACAGGCGTGGGCCACCATGCCCAGATCTAATTACTTTTTTTAAATTAAAAAAAATTCTTTTTAAACTGTGTATGGTGACACATGCTGTAAGCTAGGACCCTGGAAGCCTCAGATAGGAGAATTGCAAGTTCTAGCACAGTTTGGGCAGTGTTTGGGTTTTTTGCTTTGTTTTTGTACCAGGAATAAAACTCAGGGCCTTACACTTGCCAGGCAATTGCAGCATCACTGAGCTAAATTCTAGGCCCTGGGCAATTTAACAATTTAAAGGGATCCTGTCTCAGAATTTTAAAATTTCTGAAAAGTTGGGGATGTAGCTCAGTGCAAAAGCCCTGGGTTTTATCCCCAGTGTATGTGTGTGTATGGGGGGTGGTTGTTTGTTTGTTTGTTGTTTTTTGGTACCAGGGATCGAACTTGGGACCTTGCACTTGCGAGGCAGGCAGCGGAACCACTGAACTAAATCCCCAGCCCTTGGGTGTTCGTGTTTTTGAGGTGGTCTAGCCCAGGCTGGCCCACAATTTGCAATCCTCCTGAGTGAGGGGATTACAGGCCTGTGCAGCCTTACCCAACTAAGTTTTATTTTTTACTTGTGGTAAGGTACACAGAAAATTATCATCTTAATATGTTTAAGTGTACATACAATTCATTTGTATTAAGTGCTTTCACAATGTTAAACAGCCATTACCACCATCCATCTCCAGAACTCTTTTCATCTTGCAAAATTGAAATTTTGTATTCATTAAATAGTAACTGTTTCCTCATCCCCTGGCAAGACAATTCTTCCATCTTAATCAGTTTTGAAGGGCCGGGGATTTAGCTCAGTGGTTCTGCTGCCCGCCTCATAAGCACACACACAAAAAAAAACTTAATTAGTTTTGGCTATGTTATAGATATTCATATAAGTGGAATCTACATTGTGACTGCTTTTTTTTTAATCTTAACAAATTTGTTAAATGCTATCTTTGAATTTTTATTGTAAATCTAATTGCTTTTAAAGCCAGGGATTGACTTCTTGAATATTTTGTTTATCTTACTTTCATTAGGTTTCTGATCAGAAACCCTTGGGGAGCTGGTCAGTGAAACAAGGTCAAATTATAACATGTCCAGCTGTGTGCAACTTTCAAACTGGAGAGCATATTGTTGTACATGATAATAAGGTGAGTTTTAAAACCTGTATGTAGTAAAATACCAACATGTCAATAATGTTAGGTTTATTATATGTAAAAAAAGAATGGGATACTTTCTAACTTGTATGCTTTGTTTTCAGGTTTTGAGAATATGGAACAATGAAGATGTAAACTTAGATAAAGTATTTAAAGCTACGGTAAGTCTTTGGATATGCCAACTTATTTATTTAGCTTACTAGTGATGGGATCATTCATAGGGTGGTATGTTATTTACCTGTTTTTTTGGTGTTTTTTTTTGTGTGTGTGTGTTTTGTTTGTTTGCTTTTGTTTTTTTTGAGACAGGGTCTCACTATGTAGTTCAGACTGCTCTGGAACCCAGGGTGGTCTCGAACTCCCAGTGATCCTGTCTCAGCCTCCTGAGTGCTGGGATTACAGGTGTGCACCACCATGCCCAGTATATGTTATTTATCTTAATAGCATTAGAAAAGAACCTGAGGTTGCAGTCAGTTGCAGGGGGGTATTTATTTTCAATACTGGGCCTTTGCATAGATCCAACCCTTTTTCAGTTTTTTATTTTGAGACACGGTCTAAATCATTAAGTTGCCTGAGTTTGGGCTTCCATGTGATCTTCCCGTCTCAGCCAATGCAGGAATTTTAGGTGTGCAGCACCATGCTCAGCTTGAAATCAGTTTTTCTTTCTAATTATCTTATGATATATATTGATAACATCTCAATTCATACACTAATAGGTTACAAAGTATGTATTAATATCCCATGAGATCAGTGATTTAAATAATAATTGATGCATACAATAATATCTCGTTTCACACGTCTGTTTGCAAACAATTCACGTTCAACAAAATTTTGCTTCTTGTCAAACACTCCACATCAGTGACAAACATGACTCTAGCTATCTTCCCTAAAATTCTGAAGCAAATTGAGATTGAACTGAGATACCACTCTATTCCCATAAGTTTGGATGTTTTGTGTGTGTCCTTCATGAAAAGAAATGAACTTGTCCTCTTTCTTGGAGTAGGTAGAATGGATCCGACTGGGACCTTCCTCTTGCAAGGAAGGCAGCAGCACCACTTGGCTAGATCCCTGGCCCTATATTGTTCCTTTATATATTTTTTTTTTTTGGTACCAGGGATTGAACTCAGGACCTTGCACTTGCGAGGCAATGCGGTGGCACCACTGAGCTAAATCCCTGGCCTTATATTGTTCCTTTTAAAAGCAACATAAAGCATAGTTTTTTAAAAATCTGTGATTAAATATAGGTTTTTTATTAATAACCTAAAATGTGTTAATTAATCTTTTCTTTCTGATAGTAAGAGGATCTTAAAACTTCCTTCTAGTTTTAAATGTCTAGCTCTAAATATAATTGGCACATTTTAGGAACGGCTCACAATAGGATTCAGAAATAATGCAGGAGCTGCCCAGACCCTCAAAACATCCATCCAGCTGGCTAACATTAGTGGCCTTATTTGTACTTCTCACCTCTAGTTTTGAAGACCGACATTCTCCCCGACCTCCTTTATGCACAATGAATGAGCCAAAAATGAATAAAGATGGGTACCTGTGGAGGAGAAAATGGGCCAGGGAAGAGAGAATAAGAATAGCAGTTAGATTTCTGAATATATTTTTGTGTATATTTGATTTTAGAACCATAAATAGTTACAAAGCAAAATTAAATCAAGCTGAAAACAAATCAGTCCTTTAAAAAATAAGTCTTCTAGCTGGATATGGTGGCACACCCCTATAATCCCAGCTATTCAGGAGACTAAGAGTCATTGCCATTTTGGGGTCAGCCTTCACCTCTTAACCAAGACCCTGTCTCAAAGGAATAAAAAGGGTTGGGAGAGTAGCTCAGTAGTTGAGCACTTGCCTAACATGTACAAGGTCCTGAATTCAATCCCTGTTACCAAAAACAAATACATAAGCCTTCTATAAGTATACTTATCCTATAGGTTAGGTATAAATTTTTTTTAGAATTAAAAATATTTTAATGTCTTGCAGTTATCAGCTGAGGTACATAAGATACACTCAATACAAGGAACAGAACCCTTGGTGCTCTTCAGGGGAGGTGCTGTTCGTGGTTTAGAGGCCTTGCTTGCAGAGCCCCAGCAGAAAATTGAAACAGTTATTTCTGATGGAGAAGTGATTAAGTAAGTTTCAATACTTGTAAGTGAATTTTTACCAAAATGAAAATACGCTGTGTATTTATTACATTCTTTATTGTGTTCAGAAGTATAAGCATAGTAATAGTAACCTAGGGCTGGATTGCAGCTCAGCAGTAGAGTGCTTGCCTGGCATGCATGAAGCCCTAAATTCAATTCCCAGCATCTTGCCAAAAGAAAGGTGAGGCAGAGAGACCTGATGAAAAACCACTCAGAAGACACTGACTAAAAGAATATCCCCCAAAAGATGCTGGAATGATAAGTGATTTAGGAAACCAGGATAGATGAGTCTTGTTCCAGTGACAGAGAACTGGATAGTCAGTCATTTTAGGCTGAAATGGATAATTCCAAAAATCCACAATCTTTTTGTGTTAGTCATATTGCCCTGACTGCGAAGTCACAACCTTTTTCTCTAAAGAAAAGTACAACTTGTTGTTATTGAAATCATAATAGTGCTGTGAGATCTCTGCTCATTCCAGATTCTGGAATAAACCTGAAAAAAATGACTCACCCAAGCGGTAGAAGGACATTTCATGATTTCACATCTCCAATCCTCATTATTTCATCACATTTCCTAAAAGTCAAAGCGAAGACTTGTATTTAGTAAGTGAACAATATGGACAATAACAGCTGTATTTTAGATTGACCTGATGCATGCCTCTATGGTATAAGCAACTGTGTTTGGGAAATCCTTTAAGTTCTTTGCCACAAACTATCTGTGCCGCCTTGGTTCTTAGGCCGTTAGCCTCCCAGTGGCTCTGTCACTTGAAGTAGGCAGATGAGATCCTAATGTTTTCCTTAGAAACACTAGTCCCAAAAGTAATTCTGAAAGAAAAGGTTGGAGGGGTCAGTTTAAGTTTGGGTGTCACCGCATCCTGTACTCTCGGAACTTTACTGCATCCTGAATTTAGTCCAGACATACCTCTGACAGACTAGCACCTACCGATTGCCTGTGGTATAAATTCTGATTCATGTTTTTCTCACCTGATTTTTGTGTTTTGAAACTTGTCTATTTTTTTAGGTGGACAAAGTTTTTCATGGTATTTAGACATCCTGCCTTAGTTTTTATTACTGAAAAAGTAAGTAATGTATCTTCACTTTCTGGCCCATTTTATGAAATGTTAAAGTTGCCTGTATTATTTTTAAGACTAAAATGGAACTTTTGTATTTCAGAATATTCTTAAATTTTTTAAATAGTTCTAAACACTATGAAGTATATTAGTTAGAATTATTTCCGTGCCTAAATTAAATACTTTTATTTGTGACATTTTAAATTTAATTGGACAGGAAGTTAAGTACTCATTGAAGTATTTAGAATGGAGTGACTTCTAGTTTTAACATTAAATATAGTTTAAAATGGCAATATTTAAAGTAAAATTACCCTTTTATTGCAGGATGGAAATCATTTTGCTTATGTACAAATGTTCAACTCACAAAATTTAAGCAAATACAGTCTCTTCCTTGGACAAGAAGAAAAATCTGTCACATTGAATTTTACTGCTTATGTGGATCGGAAATTTATTTCTCTGATGTCATTAAGTAAGTTTTCCTTAAACTTCCAGCAATTATTAATAAAAGGATATTATAGGATAGTGTAGAATCCTGTAGTTTTCTGTTATCCTTCTCTTTTTCTGCCTTTCTTTACCTTTTGTGCTTGGTTGTGTCTGGTCATATAGTGGGTCACTGGTCCTGTATTCAGAGGGAATGTTTATGTATAAGTACTTCAAGTAAAGCACAGTTTTTACTTGGAATTCTTAATTGTGTTTTTATTTATTTATTTTTTTTTCCAGTACCAGAACCAAACTCAGGACCTTGAGTTTGCAAGGCAGGCATGGTACCACTGAGCTAAATCCCTGGCCCTAAAGCAGTTTTCAAACATTGTTTCTGTAACTCTCATGTTTTAAAATTGGCCATAAGTGGTAAATAAAACACCTGTGAAAAAGGAAAATCTTTTTTATCCTTATGACAAGGCTACACTCTTTGAAAGAGTAACTAGTGGACCATAAAATACCTGCTTGACATTTGAGTGTTCTATACCTCTTTTCCACCCATTAGACTGTGTGTCTTTCTTTGAACAGTGAATGAGACAAGACACGCAGAGTAATAGAACAGCACTGGCTATGCCACTTACTTTTTGTAGATTTTTTTTTTAACAGATTTTTTAAAATATCTTGAATCTACCTCTACATGATGTTCTGAATAACCCCAGACATGCTTCTAGGGCAAAAAAAAAAAAAAAGAAAAAAGCAGCCTTGGTGGTACCCTCTCCTCTAACCCTTTGTGGATTTGAAGTTGTTTTGAAGAAATTATGGAGGAGGAAACAAAAATATTTAGGAAATACTGGGCATGATAGCACATTCCTATAATCCCAGGATTTGAGAGGCTAAGGCAGGAAGATTGCCATGAGTTCCAGGCCTACCTGAGCTACATAGTCAGATCAAGGCCAGCCTGAACAACAGAATGAGACTATGTCTCAAACTAAATAACAAACAAAATATATTTAGGAAATATTTCTATATTATCACAATTATCTGTATGAAAGTTTTCAGTGTGCAGCTGTTTGTAAAGGCTCTCTTTATTATCATAACCAGATAATTGGCATATGGTTCATCTTTAAGTATAATGAACATTGAAGGGTGTTGGAACTAAATGGTCATATAAATTTTTCTGCAGCATATCTAGAACCATGTCAAATTGGCAGAATTCAGTTAATCTACAAAAACAACAATTTCATATGGTTTTCAGGCAGACTGAGTAACAGCAAATATAATACAGTGATGAGATTCTAATTAATTTCTTAGGCTTCAGGAGTAGCTCACTGGTAAAGTCCTGAGTTCAATCCTCAGCTGCCCCCATCTAGTTCTCTAGTGTGGACATGTCCTTTTAGTGACTAGATAGTTTTTATTATACTCTCCATTTTTTTCATTATAAGTGTGTACTGTTTTTATTTCTTGACTAGTACAAGTTTTCTTGTTGTGATTTTTACTTATATTCCTCACTCTAATTTTATGTTTGAAGTATTCTTTAAAGGAAAGCATAGAATGATGTGATTGTTTTTTTTGCTTGGGTGGTTTACCACACTGTTAAAATCTTATAATCCCAGGTACCAAAAGAAAAGACAAGACATAAAACTACAAACTAATTATTATTTTATCTTATAAACAACCTAGTACCTTTAATTATAATAAATACAGAACTGTTGTGAACCCATTACTGAACCACAAATATTTGTTTCCAACAGGCTCTGATGGGTGTGTATATGAAACCTTGATACCGATATATCCAAGTGACACAGAAAAAAATCAGAGATTAGTTAGATCACTGTTGCTGAAGGCTGCTGTGTCTGGTATTACTCGAAATAGTGTTACACTCACCGCCCTGGATCAAGATCATATAGCAGTCTTAGGACCTCCACTATCATCTGCTAAGGGTAACTGACATCTGGTCAATTTAAAGACGCTGGCCAGGGGACTTGGCTCAGTGGTTCTGCCCCCTGCCTCGCAAGCACAAGCACCCGAGTTTGATCCCCAGTACCAAAAAACAAATCCTGGGCTGGGTAGCATACTTGCCAAATATGTCAGGACTCGGGGGGTACCTGTTCCTTCAGATTTACCTTTTAGTCTTCCTTTTTTTTTTTTTTTTGTTACCAGGAATTGAACTCGGGTCCTTGCACTTGCAAGGCAGGCCACCGAACCACTGAGCTAAATCCCCAGCCCATAGTCTTCCTTTCTTTTTCATTTTTTTAAATTACTACCTCAATTAATTCTCTTTTTCATCATACTCTTAACTTTCTACTTCTTGAATGGGTCTTTGATTTTATTCTACATCTGTTAATCAACACTTCCTTGTACTATTATCATGACTATAATATCCTAAAAAAATAAAAACAAAAGTATCTGTCAGGCGTTTGAAACTTTGGATAGCCAGGCATGGTGGCGCACACCTGTAATCCTAGCACTAGGGAGGCTGAGGCAAGAGGATTGCCATGAGTTTGAGAGCAGCCTGGGCTACACAGTCAATTCCAGGCCATCCTGAACTACATAGCAAGACCCTGTCTCAAAAAAAAAAAGAGAAACTTTGGAAAGTCTTCCACTATAGGATTGAATTCTTATTGGTGTCTCACACCATGGCAATATACTGGATTTGGACAGCTTGCAACCTAGAGTCTGCTAGTGTACTTTAGATCTTTGTCAGTACAAGATTGGGGCCTCTGTCCTATGGATGAAGTTGTTTTTTTTGTTGTTTTTTGTTGTTGTTGTTTTACATCTGTATAAAATATATTGCTAAATATGTTTTTTTTTTTTTGGTACCAGGGATCGAACTCCAGTCCTTGTGCTTGTCAGGCAGGCGGCAGAACCACTGCTAAATCCCTGGACTTAAATGGGATTTTTTTGTTCATTTTGGTGTCTTTGGCATTATTCTCAGAGTAATATAGGCCTTATAGAAGTGAAGAACTGTTTCTTATCAGTGAAGCCATCTGGTCTTGGGCTTTTCTTTGTTGATTTTTATTACTGCAGACTGACAGCCAGCCATGAATTCTTCCCTTGGTCGGAGTTCACTTTTGAAGTTCACTTTTTTTGAGACAAGGTATCAATATGTAGCCTGGGCTGGCCTTGAACTGGGCAATCCTCCTGCCTCAGCCTCCTGAACACTGGGATTACAGGGGTGTACCAGCATGCCTGGTTTTGATGTCCACTTGCCATATGCTCTAATTTCTTTGAATTCCTATTGCAATCATTCCTTTCAATACTTTTTTTCCCCCGTTACCGGGGATGAAACTCAGAACCTTGTGCTTGCAAGGGTGGGCCCACTGGTGCCACTGAGCTAAATTCCTGGCCCCTCGTTTCATCATTACTTATTTTTATGTTTAATAAGGCAAAGCTTGTATATATATCTATGTCTCTTCCTGCCCCAAGATAGCGTGTATTTATACTTGAAGACTATTGTCTGAGTTTATATGTTCTATTTTATTTTTCTAGAATGCCTCTCCATATGGAACATAAAATTTCAAACACTACAGACTTCAAAAGAGTTACCACAAGGGACTAGTGGTCAAGTAAGTTTTTCCACTTGAAAACTTTTTAAAATTTCATTATTGCTGTGCTTGATAAATGTTCTGAGAGGTAAGAAATCTCTTCAGATCTCAATGTGATAAAAATAAACTAAAATTTTTACCTGAAATACTATATTTAATTTGGTTATTGTTTTAAGAGTTTCTCTATATTGGTTACTTTTTTTTTTCATAGTGAGACTCTGTCACGCTATATAGTCCAGGCTTGCCTTGAACCTGTGGCAGTCCTCCTGCCTCAACCTCTGGAGTGCTGGGATTATTACGGGTGTGTATCACCACACCCTGCTCTATATTTGTTACTTTTAAAGGGCTAAATTATAGTTAGTTTTAGTTTTTTTGTTTGTTTTGTTTTGTTTTTTTTAATATAGCTAGTTTTAGTTTAAGGGAGAACAATCAGCTGCTCTTTTCACTTAATCACTTTGAACTGTACCCCAAGGGTGTTACTTTTTCTAGTAAGTTAGTCTTTTAGGTTATATTTTAAATGTTACCATGGAATTACTTAAAGAAGTAAAGTAGTACACACCTGTAATCTCATCATTCTGGGAAGATCACAGATCCAAGCCCTGTATAGACAGCTTACTGAGACCCTGTCTTAAAAAGATATTTTTACAAAGTGGGACTGGGAGGCCAGGGATTCAGCTCAGTGGTTCCACTGCCTGCCCCACAAGTGCAAGGTCCTGAGTTTGATCCCCAGTACCAAAAAATATAAAGGAGGACTGGGAATGTAGCTCATTGTAAAGGCCCTATGTTAAACCCCTAGTACCACCAAAAAAAAAAAAAAAAACTAAGACCCTTGCCTCTTTGGTCAGCTTAAATTTTTAATTCTTTTTTCTTTTTATAATACTGGAGATTGAACCCAGCACCTTTACACTAATACATTCCCAGCCCTTTTTTAGAGTTTCGAGGATGGACACGCTGGCACACACCTGTGATGCTAGCAACTAAGGAGGCTGAGGCAGAAGGATTACCATGAGTTTGAGGCCATCCTGGGTTACAAAGTAAATTCAAGTCCAGTCTGAACTACACGGCGAGACTCTTGTCTCAAAAACAATAATAATAAAAAAGACTAACAGTCATAGCCAGGCTGGGAAACTTACATGTCTCAAAATTAAAACATAAAGGCTGGGAATATAATTAAGTGCTCTCTGGGTTCAGTCTTCAGCCCAGTCAAAAAACAAAAGAGACCAGGTTTTTTTTAGGCACTGGGGATGTAGCTTAGTGGGGCCGCACCTGCCTGGTAGCGCAAGGCCTGGAGTTTGATCCCCAGTACTAAAAAAAAGAAAAAGAAATTTTTTTTAATAGTTCTGCTACTTGAATAAATTTATTTTTTATATTTGTGTTCCTCCTGCCTCAGCCTCCAGAGTGCTGGTATTACAGGTGTGCACCACCACACCCAGCTTTCTTTAAGCTTTTTATTGTTGTGTACCTGTTTTTTCATACCTTATAATTGGAATTATAAGCTGTAGTGTTTGGTGCTTTTTTAATATAATACATCATTACATTTTGTGTTATAATAACCTTAGAAATTACCATGTTAATAGTTAATAGTGACAGGATTAATTTCAAGTAATTCATTTATTTTAAATGTATATGTTGATCAGATTTTTCTGAATTGACAATATGCTTTAAATTATACTTCAGACTTGAACCTACCCCAGTTAGGAAGGTATACATATGAGGTGTAATGGAAAAATATGGTGGGTGGTATTTTGGGCATTTTTCGAGATAAGGTCTCAGTGTCACCTATGCTGGCCTCAAACTCATGGTGATCCTCTGCCTCAGTCTCCCAAGTGCCTGGGTCACAGGTGTGCGGCACCACAGCCAGTTTAAATTTAAATTTTTATTACATGAAAACACTTGGTATTAATCCCCATTGGTTCAAACACACTTATCCCATCTTTCTTGCCAGTTTCTGAAGCTGTTCTGGAAGTCCTCTTTTATGAGTGTCTTTAGTTGCATTGTTGCAGCTGCCTTGTTGCTCTGATTCTGTCTTCCATGGTTATTTGTCTTTGGGGAAGAGCTGGAAGTTGCATGGTGCCAAATCTGGTGAACAGGGTGGATGAGGACTCACAGTTAATGTCTTCATGAGTCGGCCTTTCCAATTGATGACATCTGATGGCAGTATTCACTGTATTTTTTATATCATAGCCCACAGTCTTTTGGAAAGTTTATTTAGTTTGGCTTGTTCATTCTCACACTGAGATAGCTCATAATAACATTGTTATAAGGGTTTATTGAGTCAAATTTATAAAAGAAAAATATTTGCTTATAGTTTTGATAACACTTTTGCAGCTGTGGTTTTATGGGGAAAATCTGTTTATGCTACACGGAAAATGTCTAACTGTGGTTCCATACAAGTGTGGCGTGTCATCATTAGCCGGTGCTCTTGGAAAACTCAAGCATACGCAAGATCCAGGTAGAGACTCACTTATATATTTGTTTCATTAATATAAGCCATTTTATTAGCCCCCAGCTTCATATGTAGGATCTCATAGCCTTCTGTTTATAGTGCCTGTTATTTTTTTTGTTTTGTTTTGGTACCGGGGATCAAATGCAGGACCTTGCACTTGCCAGGCATACTATCTCTGAACTAAATCCCCAGCCCTACACAGCCTGTTCTTAATTTTAAAATTTGCTGCTGTTCATTGAAATTTTCTGATCCAGGTAGCTTCCTTGGAACCATCACATTGCAGATGCTGCTGCACACTGAAAAGCCACACTGTTTTGAATGCTAATGCTTTTCTGACCTTAGAGGCAGTGGGTGATTCCTCAAGGCAAAATACCTTTTACCTTTCCTGTTTACTGTCAAACCCATCTCTTGCCTTAATGTTGCAAGGCTTGTCATATAATTCTTGACTAATTATGATTTAGTGATTTGAAGTTGTTGGTAGATTTTTTTTTTTTAGACAGTTTCACTATGTAATTTAATCTAGCCTTGAATTCACTGTGTTAACTGGCCTAAAACTCAGGCGTTCTTCCCGCCTCAGCTTTCTGAGTGTGGAGATTACAGATGTGCAACATTACACCCAGTGAAGTTGTTAGTATAATTACATGGATTTTTTTAAAAGCTTCTCTTGAATTGTGCATGAATTTTTTTTTCAATTGTGTTCTTTACTTGGTTGGTTAAATAACAATATGTCAAAAGATTCCAGAAACTGTGTTTTTTGTCTTTGCATAGGCACTCAGAAGCCCCACTTTGTAAACTGGGAAATGTCTCAGGGATGTGGACTTGGATCCCCAAACTCAGAGCAGTCCAGAATTGTAAGTTCAGTAGTTGAAAGAGCAATGGTAGGACAAATGTTGAAAACAGAAAAAGGCTCAACCATTATCTTTTTTTAACAGGGAGGCAGTTTTGGGGATCAAACTCAGGGCGTTTGCACTGAGCTGCACACCATGCCCTTTCCTTTCCTTTTCTTTTTTTCTTTTTTTTTTTTTGAGACAAGATCTTCCTGCATAATCTAGGCTGCCTTGAACTCAGTATGTAGCCCAGGCTGGCTTCGAACTCACGGTGATCCTCCTGTCTCAGCCTCCCATGTGCTAGGATGTAGGTGTGTGCCAGCACACCCCCAGCTAAATTATTTTAATGCTTTATATTTACACAGCTCTTACACCACTAATGAGGGTAGTTAGAGGACTGAACTCAGTAACCTCAGAGCATTTACTCCAAAATAACGTGTGTTATATTTTATTTTTTTTAAGGGCATGTTTAGATGATAAGGGTCAAGTGTAAAAATGAAACAGACTGCAAAAAATACCTTCCTGAGTACTTTTATTTTGTATTTTAAAAACTTCAAAGATGCTTAATTCAAAGTTGAAATAACACAATTTTCCCTATAACAAATTTTATTTTTAAAAAATGTGGGATCGTTGTAAATGCGAGACCAGCCTGGGCTACATAGTGAGCTCCAGTTCAGTCTCAACAACAGTGAGACCCTGTCTCAAAAAAAACCAAAAAACTTAAGAATAAAAAATGTGTGACTACAGTATGTACTAGTCTCTTCAGAGGGTTTCATATTCTTAACAGGCCTTTTGTATTAAGATTCTAATCTTTTTACTTAATTTCCAGTTAAGGAGAAAAAAAACTGAAGCTAGTTTACAGCCAGAAGTTCCAGCATCTGAACAACTTTTATCAACAGTAAAGGTAAATAACACTGGAAAAATTTTAAAAATCTGGTGATTAAAGGAAATTCCATCTATTTTTAACTGGATTTTTTTTATTGGTTGGTTGGTTTGTTTGTTTATTGGTACTGGGGATTGAATTCGGGTCCTTGAGCTTTTGGCAGCGGCACCACTGAGCTAAATCCCTGGCCCCTATTGGTACATTTTAGATATACGTGATGATAACTTTCACCATAGGGAATTTGTACCTGTACATGATATAGCTTTCTTCTTTTATTTTTCCATTCTCTTCAACCCCTCTTCCCCTCCTCATCTACAAAAGCTTTTGTTTCCAATTTTTTCCTTCTGTTGTTTTTTTTTCTTGTCCCTTCCTCCTTCCTTCCTTTCTCCTTCCCCGTCCCTTGTCCTCTATCCACCCCCTTTTTTGGTTTGTTTTTAAAACAGGGACTCTGCCGGGTGGCACATGCCTGTAATCACAGCACTTGGGAGGCTGAGGCAGGAGGATGATGTGAGTTTGTGAGTTCGAGACCAGCCTGGGCTACATAGTGAGTTCCACGTCAGTCTCAACTACATAGTGAGACCCTGTCTCATAAAACAATTTATTTCACTTAAGAGTATGCTCTCAAAGTGCATCCATTTAACTAGAAATGTCTCATGCTTATCTTCTTTATGGCAGAGTAGAACTACATTGTATAAAACAACTGCATCTTTATCCATTCATTGGTTGACGGGCATTTGGCTGTTTCTAAGATTTAGCTATTACAAACTGCTTCTATAAACATGGGCATGCATATATTGCAGTGGTAGGATACTTTTAATTCTTTTGGGAAGGTGCCAAGAAGGGGAATAGCTGGGTCAAATGGAACCTCTAGTTTTAGTTTTTTGAGATGTCTCCACACTGATTTTCACAGTGATTGCACTAGTCTACACTCCCATCAACAGTGGAGAAGAGTTCCTTTTTCCCTACAGCCCCACCAGCATTTGTTAT